TCTATTCTATTCTATTCTATTCTATTCTATTCTATTCTATTCTATTCCATTCCATTCCATTCCATTCCATTAACAACTGTGGCAGGAAAGTTTGTAAAATGGGACAAGACTCATTTAACAATTGGGTTGCTTAGCAACAGAAATTCTGGGCTCAACTGTAGCCAAGGGCTACCTGTACGCTTTCCTAGAACTCAAAGCTCATTGCTATCAACCCAGCTCAAGATGCTTGGATGGCACTGGCTTGGATTCTTTGCTGACTTTTTATCATTCCGTTGAAGTGCTAGTTGAGGAGAAGAAGTAAAAATCACACACACACCCCAGCTCATTCTCCTTTGTGGTTGTGATTAGCCAGGCTATTTTTAGACACAGGTTTAGCACCCTTTCAGAAGAGGGCTATACTTGTGTTCAGAAATAGCCTGATGGATCAACAGCCATGGAGGAGGGATTGCACCAAGCAGGAAAACTGGGGACATCTTATCCATTTCATCCTGTGCATCCCTCTGCACTTACAATCTGTTAGTTGAGCAGCTTGACAAGTGACTAAAGCTGTGGTTCTGAGCAACTGCCAACCCTCGCCTAGTTTCACTCCATCCTGGGTTAAGGAGAAGATCGCTATTTTCCTGCCAATAAATTGGAGAGGGAAAATAATTGGATAAAATTCTTTCCTAAACCTTGTCTGCCAAGACGCATAAGGTCAGCATCGTTTGTCAGCCTTGTTAGAATCGAGGCAGTACAATTAATGCTGGCATATTTTTCGGCCAGCACAGAGACTGATGGATGGCACTTTAAATGTGGCCATCTGGAAAAGCTGAATAAGATGCTACAAATCACTGCTAATCGACAGGTGTCATGAGGGACTATGATTGGGCCCAGTTAAAACTGGAGAAAACTGTTTCATTCAACTTTGTGACAGCAAAATGTGGACTAAAAACAGGTTGCTTGCTATTCCACATTAGTGGATATGAACTCACACATCTTTTACTGCCACAAGCAAAGACCACGCTCTCTGGTGACGTTTATCAGATACTAAAATTGTAGTTATTTCCCTAAGCAAAGGAATAAAAGTAGATTTTTATTGGAGCAATTTATGGCTTGAATGCTAAGCACCTGTGAGACTTCCTAGTCCTTTACTAGAAACCCTGTAAATCAAGCAACATGTGCAGGTTAAATCAATGTTTTTC